CGCTGCACGAGATGCAGAATCATCTGGACCGCGAGGGCGCCTCGGATTTGGTCGTGGAGCTGGTCATCAAATCGGTGCATTCGCCCAACATCTTTGTAGAGGCCGTTGAGCTGGGCATAGCACTGCTCGAGGGCGGCAATCCGATCATACAGAAGGGCATGTTCCAGAAGTTTCTCAGCGACGATCTGAACCAGGCGTTCTTCAAGGTCTTCTTCGAGAAGATGAAGGATGCCCAGCAGGAGATCAAATCGACGGTGTCCGTCAATACCACAGACATTGCGGCCAAGGCACACGAGCATAAGCAGGACGGAAATCTGGAGCTGGACAAGATCTCGCGCAAGCATGGCCTCAAGAGCAACGGCGTCGTCATCACTGATGAACTGAAACGGGAGCTGCACAATGCCGGCCTGGCCACAGCGCGTGCCTATGGCAATGCGCGGAACATACACTCCGGCGAGGAGAGCTCGGCGATCAGTGTGAACAGCCCCTTGGAGGATATACTGGCCGAGAAGCTGGAGAAGCATCGCGACAGCAAGGAGCAGCGCAATCAGCTGTCCAACAAGGTGCTCGTCATGCAGCCCATTCTGCGTTTCCTGCAGCTACTCTGCGAGAATCACAATCCCGATCTGCAGAATCTGCTGCGCAACCAGAACAACAAGACCAACAACAATCTCGTCTCCGAGACGCTCATGTTTCTCGACTGCATCTGCGGCTCCACCACGGGCGGCCTGGGCCTGCTCGGTCTCTACATCAATGAGCACAACGTGGCGCTGATCAACCAGACGCTGGAGACGCTAACCGAGTACTGTCAGGGACCGTGCCATGAGAACCAGAACTGTATTGCCACCCACGAGTCGAACGGTCTGGACATCATTACCGCCTTGATATTGAACAACATAAATCCGCTGGGCGAGAACCGCATGGATCTTGTGCTGGAGCTAAAGAATAACGCCTCCAAGCTGTTGCTGGCCATCATGGAGAGTCGCGGTGATAGCGAGAATGCGGAGCGCATACTCTACAACATGAATCCCAAGCAACTGGTCGAGGTCGCCTGCAAGGCCTATCACCAGGAGGAGCTCATCGATGAGCAGGACGACGGTGACGAGCCGAGTGCCGCAACAGATGACGATGACGCAACGGTCAGTCCACGCGAGGTCGGACACAACATCTACATACTCTGCCACCAGCTGGCGCAGCACAACAAGGAACTGGCCGCCTTACTAAAAGCATCCGAGGATCCCCAATCGGCCAGCTTCGATGCCAAAACAAGTCAAGCACTCATGTACTATGCAACGCACACGGCACAAATTGAGGTACAGTCAGAACAAATGCTAAACAAGCGTTCCATTCAATCACAGCAGCTTTACATAACATAAACATGTTAATTAGATAACATAATAATTGTCAATTAACCACAATATGTCATATTATTCCGATTTGTCCTTATTCCGAATGTATTTACTACCTTCGTTCCATTCGCAGATTGTTCGCAATGATCGCACACTGGAACAAATTGTTTTTCCCATACCTGAAATTTGCGAGTATCTAACAACAGATACGAAAATCAAAATACTGAACACGGCGGAACGCGATGACCAGGGCTCCAAGGTGGCGGATTTCTTTGACAAGGCCGAGGAGATGTTCAATGAGATGAAATGGCAAAAGAAACTGCGAAGTACGTGTGACATACATTGTTTCATTTTGTGGAGTTTTCTTAAAGCCTGACTTTACATCTTCTACAGGTCAGCCGCTGCTCTTCTGGATTAGCAGCTACATGTCCCTGTGGAGCAATATACTCTTCAACTGCGTTGTTGTAATTAATATGATTGTGGCTTTCTTCTATCCCTTTGATAATACTGTGCCAGGTATGAAAGCGTAGATAACAAAAAATTTATAAAGAAAGCAGCTAACAGCTACCATGTAAACTAACATTGACTTTTAACAGTGAATGTTATGGTAATGTTATTCGAGTGCAAAACCGCAAACAGCTACCATGTAAACTAACATTGACATTTAACAGTGATTGTTATGTTAATGTTTATAGCATACTTTTTGAGGCACAAAAGAGATCATTTTTCTTTTGCTTTTGTATTTTCAGAGCTCAGCTCGCACATTTCGCTGCTCTTCTGGGCCATTCTGATATTCTCGCTGGTAATAGTAATTACGCTACCTCGCGAATCGGGCATACGCACATTCATTGGCTCCGTAATTCTTCGTTTTATATTTATGCTTGGCCCAGAGTCGACACTCTGTTTGTTGGGCGTCGTTACGGTAAGTACTTAACCACAGCTAATAACTGACCCGAATAACATTAAAACGTGTCCGTGCAGGTGACTCTGAAGAGCGTTCATATCGTGAGCATCATGGGCAACAAGGGCACGCTGGAAAAGCATTTCCTGAAGATCATCACCGACTTTCAGCTGCTCTACCATTGCATTTATATAGCCTTTTGCTTTTGCGGACTCATTTTCCATCCGTTTTTCTACTCTCTGCTGGTAAGTTGCGCGTGGTTACCATGCCATGTTGATATATCTAATGCGGTGCGTCTTGTAGCTCTTCGATGTGGTCTACCGGGAGGAGACGCTTGTCAATGTGATTCGCTCGGTTACCCGGAACGGACGCTCCATTGTTTTGACTGCCGTGCTGGCATTGATTTTGGTCTATCTATTCTCCATCATTGGCTACATGTTCTTCAAAGATGATTTTCTCGTCCCGGTGGACTTTGAAGAGCAGGAGGCTGCCTCGACTATCGGTCCCTTGACCCTCTCGGTACCAGCATCGCCCGAGGAGTCCTGCGCCATGCCCGACGAACTGGGCGTCTGCAATGGCGGCACCAAGCAGCAGGTGGCTGCAGCTGCCGCCGGCAGTGGTGAGGCCAAGGAGCGCTCCTGCGACTCGCTGGTCATGTGCATTGTGACGACACTGAATCAGGGCCTGCGCAATGGCGGCGGCATTGGTGACATTCTGAGAGCACCTTCGAGCAAGGTAAGCTGGCAAGTTTCAGTCGCAATCGAATAGATCTCATTCAATATTTGTTTGCCTGGCAGGAGGGTCTTTTTGTGGCGCGCGTCATCTACGATCTGCTGTTCTTCTTCATTGTGATTATTATCGTGTTGAACTTAATTTTTGGCGTCATCATTGACACGTTTGCCGACCTGCGATCGGAGAAGCAACAGAAAGAGGCTATACTCAAGACGACCTGCTTCATTTGCTCGCTCAACCGTTCGGCTTTCGACAACAAGACGGTCAGCTTCGAGGAGCACATCAAGAGCGAGCACAATATGTGGCACTATTTGTACTTCATAGTGTTGGTCAAGGTCAAGGATCCCACGGAGTTCACGGGCCCCGAGAGCTATGTGTACGCCATGGTCAAGGCGGGCATATTGGAATGGTTCCCAAGACTGCGCGCCATGTCGCTAGCCGCAGTGGACGCCGATGGCGAGCAGATCGAGCTGCGCAGCATGCAGGCGCAGCTACTGGAGACGCAGCTGCTCATCAAGAACCTGTCGACACAGCTGCACGAGCTCAAAGATCACATGACGGAGCAACGCAAACAGAAGCAGCGCCTGGGACTGCTCAACACGACAGCCAATTGCCTGTTGCCGTTTCAGTGAGGCAAAGATTGGGCCAACGGGTCGAGGCCAACTAAAAGCAATTGAATTTTAGACATTCCCTTGTGTAGTTCTTGCACTAGATAGATGTAAACGTTAAAGTATTGCCACAAATTCCACAGTAACTTGTTAAAATCTCAGTAGAATCAATATATTTCACATATATATATGTATATATATATTTATATTTCCGTTGGGTTTCTACTTATATTTTGTACTCGAAAGGAGACGTTTTACTGCTCCGCTCCGCTTACAACTCCACTTTTTTTTATCCTAGACGTGATCAATTATTCAATTTGAATATGCCTTAACGTTGTATTGGATTCGATTTTCTAAAAGAGATTTGCTCAGCACAGCAGAAGTTAAGACTCGACCATTTCCAAACGAAACCAACAACAACTATATTCTTTACCACATAAGGACATTCGTAGAAACAAATCTATATACATATACATATATTGTAAACTGAACTCACTCAGAAAACTTAGGGCTGTTGAAATGTTGTTTAGTGGATTTCTTGATCCGCATTTTCACAATTTAGACAAGTTGTTTCCCCATCTACTATATACATCTAACTATATATCTCTATATACATTTTTATATCTGTATACTTTTTCAATTACAATTTATCGCAAAGCGAATTGGAATAATTACTTAAATGTTAATTTGCGCTGTTTTATGTTACTTATCAGCTAATTATTAATTTTTATAGAGTAATTGTATGTATAATATTGGAATTTTTTTATCATATTACATTTGCAACCAAAACTAACTGATTATTGTGATTATTTGTTCCCTTGTTTTCATCTATTCGAATTGTTTACCTTGTACACGGTACGAGTTTTGTTGGTTAATTTTTTATAAGCTAACATTTAATTAATATCCTAAGTGAATCTATGCTAAAATTAGGCTACTTTAAATGAAGAACATCAAAAACAATGTGTAGAATTATATGAAAATAATATATTGATTAAAATAAGTTGCAAAACCATTAATGCGATAGATACAAATCTCGTCTATGTTCTATATCCAATTTTTCAACTATTCCAGAAAAATTATTTCTACAATAAGAGGTCTTGTAATTTGCCCAGGCCAGATGTGAATTTATCATAGTTAATGCACTCAAAATGTGACAATGGGCGTGGCAACATAAACCGTTGCCAGGGTTAAAATTGAAGGACAATCCCAAATAGAGAAAGGATAGTAAACAAATTATATGAAAAACCATTTCTCCCTTCAAAATAAATTATTTATATTTTGGTTGAACTATTTAAAGCATCAACAGGGAAATCTATAAAATAAAAAACTTATTTATACAGTTGGGTATCATCGAAATTTAAGGGTCTGTCAATTGACTCACAATAAAAACACATGCAATTTTATTTTTTATCCAACATTTTTTATTACATATTAATTACACTACGGTTCATTTTCATAAAATTGTTCAATGCGCTCTTGAGATTATCGTTCTTGCTTTAATCTGTATGTTTAAAGTTTAATAACTAGATATTTATGTATGTCGGGTATGTTTGTATGCATGTATGTAAAGATTTCATTCGATTTACTCTAGCTTAAAAACATAATTAGGGTTCGTTTGTTCAATTTTTGCTTCTACTGAAAATAGCATTTGTATAAATTATTTATCAGAATAAGCTTTAACTGAAGCATGAGCAAACATATAATTTCATTCTTGCAATAGATGTGGAACAAATTTAGAGAATGTAACAAAATTATTTCGCCAATCTTAACGTAATATTGGAAGCTGCCGAAGTTATGATTGTGTAAAGTGAAGGTACTTTGAATTAATACTTTAAGTTGTGTGGCAATTAACGTAATTATAAAATAGAAAGGTTGGTAGTAAATACTTGGAGGGCATAGGTATACGTTAGGGGAAGGAGTGGAATTACATTTATTGCAACTTTTCTTATTGTTAGCATTTATGCTTTGTATTAACTTGGTATATGTATAAATGTGAAAAGTTTATCAATTACAATTTACTGCCTTTTGTTTAATGCTGCTTTTGTACGATAATTTGTTAATTGTTATTACTATCATTTATAAATCGTATTAGTGTTTGGAAGAGAAGAGAGCAGAAATAGTAGTTGTAAAAACAAAGGGGCATATACCTAGAAGTATACGTTTAGTAATAGTACTATGTATGTATTAGTTTATATAAATTAGTTGTCATACCATAATTAATATTAATTAACAATATTTGTTCTTCTCATAGTACAATTCGTGGCATTTACAATATTGTTATTTTTGATTACTAAAATTAAGTTTATCTTTTGTTAGGTACAAAGAAAATCTCATGGCCATTGCACAGTGTGTGCCAGAATTGTTTTCCATCGGTTAAAATGCTGTAAAACAGCCTTGAAACGTCCTCAAAAATGTATCTTTATCGGCTCGACTGCTACTATGACATATCCTCCAACAAGGACTCAACTGATCGAAATTCTAACTAATAATCTTCAGTTTATGGCTTTAGGTGTACTTCGATGTAGTTTGTAGATTGTGTGTTTGTGGTGTTAAAGAACTCAAGAGTAGGTAGGCATTGAAATTGCATAAACGTGGCGCTCAGTATACCCCGGTTTGGAATCTCTTGCTGTGTGATTTATTTACTGATTGATTACGACAAAGATAAAATGGACATTCAATCGTACAAGGCAATAAGAACACTTTAATCTTGTTGAAAACAACTTGCGCTTATTTCTACAGTCCATTAATATCAACCTGAAGGGGCGCTGACTCTGCTTGAGTTTCCTATCTGATATATATTTATTCAGTTGCAATTGTTACACTTGTTGATGTTGACATATGTATTTGTTAAAAATATATACACATATGTGAAAAACGTTCCACCGTTGTGAACAATAAAAATGTTGTGTACTGGAAACACGATCCAGCTATTAGAATACCTATCTACCCTATAAAGAGTTGATATACATTTATCTTTCTTTGAATCACATTAGATTGTGTCTTCGTAGACGTTAGCTACCTTCGCTAAGGCTTGTGTCTAATGTTTATATATTGCTTTATATTGTAAAGTCGTTGCTTACTCATGTTTTACAAAAATGTATCTTTGAAACCATTAACTGATATTTAAAATGTTAGACTGATCTGATACTTGAAAATATTCGAGAAAACTATCTTAAATAAATTGACCAAAAGGTGACACAAATCAAGCACAAAGCCGGCATGACACTAAAGAACAATTTATCAATATTGAAGTTGTAAAACAATGATAGTATTTGAACTGAGAAATATCGAGATACAAAATATTTAGTTGCTACGATAAATGCATTCTAAAAAATGCTAAATAAAGCTTTAAACATAAAAGCCGATGGAATTTACTTATGGACCACAGTGTGTTGTTAGTTAATTTGTTATTGTTCGAATGAAAACAAAAATTAAAAAACTAGTACTGGTCTAAAATCGTCACCGAAGCCGTGTTGAGGCGTTTGCTTTTAGTATTCTTAACTAATTAGTTGCATAAGAAAAATTTGAGTTAAATTGCTGCATAAAACTTGCTTGCGACTAGAATTAAGTTGGTTTGCTTTTTAGATTGTTCTGTGAATGCATTGTATATATGTTTATGTATATTTATATGTATATGTATATATGCATGTATAAGTTTGTATACTAACAACTCATTTATGTGTATATATCATATATATATGTAAATATAGATATATGTATATGGATAGATTTGTTCATATTACACTTTACCTAGCATGGCTGCTTTAGCTGCTGAGCGACAGCAATCAGACATATTCTGCCTTTCATAGCCTTTGTTATTAATCAAATTTAAATAAAGCTATTAATTCGCGAAATGTTACTTGTTATGCGTGCGATATACAAAAGCATAACTGGATAATGCGAATAATTTGAAAGTGTTTTTTAGAAGAAATGCAGCTAAGAAGCCCACGCGTTTATACATAATCGTAATTGTATCTCTAGTCTGTATATAAAGGTAAATATATATATTTGTATATATACTATTGTGTGCCCAAACCAGTGTAAACCTGTTAGACTGTGGTGCCATATGCGTTGTTAAAAACAGCACGCGAGCTATCCGTATCCAGCGATATGTCCTCGGGACTGGCCAAGTCGACGCGCACGTTGGAGTTAGTGCGTCGGCGCGCCGTTTGCGCGGCACCCCAATTGCTAAGGGTCCAGTGAAAACCGGATGCGCTGGGTGCTGGTTCTGCGTCGACTTTGACCTGCGTGCAAACCTAAATCGAGCATGGAAATGTTAGAAATTCAAAAGTAGAATTGTTTGAACCAACGCACCTCACGATTTCCACATGGTAAAGTTTCCGTGCCGTTGCCCAAGGCAGAGCCAGACACAGAGCCGGAGCCAGAGTCACGGGTGCTGCCAATGCTACTGCTGCTGGCCAACGAATCGTTGCTAGACTCCATGACGGCTCCATGATAGCGCGCCACCGAATGCACAGCCTGACTCAAATATGGAATTTTAATACAAAATATACATTTAGTTGAATTGAAAGCGCACACACCATAGCTTCGCCGCTCTGGCAGTCTTCGATAGACTTGAGTATCTCCCAGACCAGCTCTGAGTCCAGCGGAATGGGCTGTTCCGTATCGCGATTGTAAATGGCAATGGCAATGTGCACGGGATGTGGAACCGGCAGCGGTATCAGCAGTTTCTCAGTGACGCTTCGTTCCACGCACTTCTGTTTCCATGGTCGCCAGGGCTTTTGGGCATCATGCGTGGCTTTTGGTATATGTTGAGCACGATGGGCGCGCACTCTTGGCGTCGTTAGGCCCACGGACATGTCGCTACAACAATCAAAAGTTAATAACTAATAGATTGAATCTCATGTGTTGGAAATGCATGCAAATGTCTTACCGCTTCTCGGGCTTACGAAAAGTCAACGTGATGCGTGAGCGCGGATTGAATGCGGTCACTTCCAGGAATGGTAAATGCACCTGGACATTGCCGCGTGGCGCATACACATTGCCCAACAAATCCAGTCCCTTGGAACCGATCACATCGTTGGCGTTCTTTACCATCTCCGTGTAGCGCATTAGATCTAGCGAGGCATGTGGTTCTAGTTTAAAATGCGTATCATTTTCAGTCAATGGCGTTAGAAAATCTAAACTAAATATCTCGGTATATATGAGACCCGCGAGACCCGGCCAATCGTTGACCGAGAGACCCTGCAAAGCGAACACAGAGAGATTATAGATTATAGATTGATTCTTCTAGTTATTCAGCAGTTCTTTTTTACCTTATTATCCCAAAATTCTTCTTCGCTTATGGACAGTCTACCGATGACATGAGACGGATAGTATTTCTCAAGTAAATGGGCGGCCAGTTGTATTGCAATCTGTAAAGAGCAAAGTAGATAAGCTTTAATATGTTTCAGATCCGTCATACTGCTTGATCAAGATAGCTCTAAAGCGGACAGGCTGTTTGATTATACCTTTAATTCTTTGGTGTTCAGCTTGATACGCGATTTAACCTGCGTAGTTAGGCTCGTTTGTAGCTCCCTTCGGCGCTTCTCGAGTTTTTCGTGTAGTGAGCTCATCAAATCCTGGGCCTCGCGATCGAGTGCTAAATATGGACCCGTTTTCGACAACTGGGCGGAGAAGGGTCCGAAACAGGCTTCGACAAATTGCAGGAAATCTTGCTGTGGCTGCAATACCACACGCTCAGTGGCATGCTGATAGGCCTGCAGCTCGTCCAGTTCCATTTTAGCCTCTAGTGCTGCCAAAGCCTGCTCCGGCCGTATAATGAAATAATAGTCCAAAGCCAAGCCCGGACCAGCAATGCGTTTGACGGCAATGCTATCCGAGGCAGGCACCCGTCCGCATTTCTTGATGAACAAATGAAACGTTACCGAATCCCAAAGCAGACGCAGTGTGTATCGAACGACGCCAACTAAAGAATTATAAACAATTAGCTGTCTTCTCTAAAAACGCACATAAATTCACACATTTACCTATCAGCACAAGACCTGCCGCCAGGGGGCAAAGCAGCGTGGCAACCAAAATTGCCGCCAGCGGTTGCAGTAAGCCCTGAATAAGAAAATTCCATATAAGCGCCTCCAGCAGAATACAGTAACGATTTCGAGTGTTGTCCGGGGCGTCCAAATCATAGACGAGTATCATGTAGATGTGCAACAGGAGAACAAACACTGGAATCCAAAGCGGTGCGCTCAATGCCAGCCCAATGCTGAGGAAACATGTCGCCAAGCATATCAGTGGGAATGCAAACAGAATGACAATGGTGCCCAGAAAGCCTTTGACAAAGTAATTCCAAGTTCGATTCAAATTGCGTGTCAAGCCTTTACCAATGAAGCCTACAAGAATATTGATAAAGATTACAGATTGTTCTAAGAACCAAGTATAGTGGCCTCTCACCTGTGTCTGGTTCCGTTTCGAAGTGAGTGCGTGATTTTGATATGTGTCGCCAGAGCTCAATAAGCCGTGAGGCTAACGTCTGTGTGATGCTGGTCTTGCGTGGGAAAAGCGTGCCATTGATTTGAGACAATTCCAGGTCGGGCATGAACGGCTTGATGCAGAACAGGGCGCGCAGCCCGAGCGGGCTGCACCAGGGAACGAGAATGCCGAGGAGGAACATCATGTTCCAAGTCCAGCACCAGGTCCGCTGCAGCAGATTCAACAGACGCCAGAAGGGCCAGCGCGTACTGGTGGTGCGTATCATTTCCTTTTCAACCAAAAATACCGGCTGACTGGGATCCGAGCGTGGAGTGACTATCGAAGTGGCCTGCTGGCTTATGACCGTGGGGATCACATCCGATTGCCCTTGAAAATTGCGTCGTATAATCCAAGACTGTGGCGACCAGATACGACAAGCCCATTGGAAGCTGCGTGTTGGCGTCTTAGCATTCTTCAACTCCTTGAGCAGCACTGGCTCGCGCTCCTTCATGAATGCCAGATCGCGCGACAGGAAGTAGGCGGTCTGATGCAGATTGTGCTGGCTGCACATCTTGAGGGCCTCCTCGTGCGCCGACCAGGCGCACTTGTACAGCTTGTGCTGCTCGGCATGGCGCAGCTTGGAGCGTAGCCAGGGCGCCACGCGGGACAGCACAGAGTGATCGTTGGCCAGGCACTTCTGGTGGTCCTCACGCGTTCGCTTAATGTCCTGCTGCACCTTGTCGACGGCCTTGTACATGATGACCACCGACTGGGCTTGCTCCACCAACAGCTGCGACACACCGTTACCTAGTTCCGCGAGCTTGGCATTGGACATGATGGAGCTATAGACACGCTGCAAATACTCCTTCATGACAGCCTCATTGACCTCCTCCTCAATTTCCTTGTCGGTCAGTTTCTTGGCGCGTAGCTCTGCAATCAGACGCTCACGAAAATGCAGAAACCAGCCGCGTGTCTCGCGCTCCAGTATGCCCACCAGCACGGGCAGTGCCTTGCGCATTATGTCCCGACAGAACAGACGCAGATCGATCTCCTGGCCCTTGGGCGTCAAGAACAGATATGGCACCGGCTGAGACACCTCACAGCTGTTAAAATCAAACTTCTCCATGGTGGCTCGACGCAGCATTTTGCGCACATAGGAGCACAGGCCATCCAGACAATCCTCGAACTCCGGCTGCAAGGCAAGTTAAAAGATTCCGATTAAACCGACATCCAGTCAAAAAAGGTTTGCAGAGTGTTGCTCAATGTCATTGTTTTTCACACTTACCCGACACACCAGCTCAGCTATAAGAAAGCGACAACGTTCCTCCTTGATCTTGTAGTCCAGATTGTGTGCCAACAAAGCGGGCACACCGATAAACATGTCCACCAGCCGGATTAGCGCTTCCAGCAGTGCGTGCGCTGCATGCACCACTGAAAAGAAGTGCGAGAAGATGCGAGCTCGGGCCGTGACGACCACAAAGCGCGCTGCCAAGGCCAAGTCGCTCAAGAAGGAGTCGTGGGCGCGCAGCGTGCCCTTTTGCAGCAGCTGGGACAGGCGCCACTTGTGCACCTGACCAGTAAAATGCAAGCTCGGAACGTCGAATTCACTGTGAATGCAAATGCAAAAGTCTTAGCTAGATGGCATATGGAAATATATGTATGGCGACTAATAATGTAAGGCAACATAAAACACACATATGTACACATATATTGAGACGAGGACGAGACACAACTTAATGACAAATTATAGGCATGCTCAAGCGTGGGCCAGATTCTTTAGAGTATTCTTCCGCATCCGTGTGAATTATGCTAGTATTTAATTAATTACATTTGAAATGTCTGTGTGTGCAAGTGAAATGACTGTTTTTTTTTTTTTGTATTTTTTTGTATATTTTGGATGGTGCCCAAAGCTGCAAACTCAAAAATATTGTAGAAACCGGGGTTTTGGTTAAATCCTTAGTCTCAAATTTTTTATACATTTTAATTTACAATTTATCTTTAATTGCTGAACAAAATTTTCTCCAAAAAAATATGGTTAAATATGGAATTAACTATTCATAATTCATAAATTACAATATTTTCTAATTCAAAACGGATTTGCAGCCTTGGCATTGCCTAACTAAAAAATAGTTTAAGCCAACAAGGAATTACAACCCATTTAATACTGTAAATTAAGTACAAAGGAATGTGTAAAATAAAGATAAATATAAATCAATATTTATTTCAACCAGGCGGTTTATTTGTAAACTCTATTTTATAGATTGCAAATGAAATCATATTATTGAAACTTTGACAACTCTGTCAAAATGATTCGATCTTCAAAAAAGCCAGTAAACTTTCTATATACTCTTCAAATGGATAACTCAAAATGTTTTTAAGAAACTCTTGCGCCAGCAAACACACAAGTTATGTTTTAAAAAACCTAGAAAAAAAGCAAATCAAACTTTTAACACTAGAGGCAACATTTTCATAAGAACTGACAAAACGTTTTTTTTTTTTACTGTATTTTTTTCGTGTTGGCATTCGTTTTTTTGAATTTTCGATTCGATTCGATTCGACGGCATGCATAAATTTGGCGTAGCGTAAATTATGAATGTGTACTTAAAAACACAGAATAGAAATTACCACGCATAATTTATGCATGTTAGGATAAAGAAAAATGAAAACTTTATATGTATGCGTGTATATATATGTATGTACAATCGGTATAAAATAAGGAACACTGACTAAACAATTTGATATGCAATATGGCAAACACGCAAAACATTTATTTTGATTTTATTTAGTTCGTTGCTTATTGTTTATTTACCCATTTTTACGTATTGTTTCCAATTGTTCCAAAGTTAATTTCTTCGGCTTTCCATATTTATCCTTTTGCAAGCTTTACAGGAATATTTCACATACAAACATTTTGTTTACGTTAATTGTAACTGTATGCAGTTACGTACACACATATTTGCGCATTTTGTCGTTATGTTAATGTTGTAACGTTGTATGAAATATATTTCAAAAAAAAATGTTGCATGCAAATAACGTTAAACGAAACTAAACAAAAAACAACAATTTACTCGTTTACCCTTAAGACTGTGGAACATGCTTTTATTTTGATTGTTGCTTTTGCTTTTTTTGTTAACAGCTGCGTGAGCGTGCGCAAAGTGTCAAATGATTTTTGCTGTTGTTTGGGCGAAGCGTTTGCATAAAACAAGTAGTGTAGTATGTAGAACAGCTGCGCACAGTGGTGCAACGGTGCTGCTAAGCATAGCAGCGGCATGTTAATGTTAGCTACATACATATGTACATATGTAAGTACAACGGCTTGCAGTCGGCAGTGCTAAGTTCGTTTATTTGAATGTTATCGATTCATGGCTTAGTGTTTATCTTCAGCGAAAAGCACGCGCCGACAGCTGCGCTCGTGCGCATGCTACTTTTTAAAACTGTGAATATTTGCTGCTCGCCTGCATCATCATCATTATCATTAACTTCCTTGCCAGACAGCAGGCTTCGAATTTTTGTGTGCGCATGCATGCATACGACCCCAGACTCACCCAGTTTCGCGCAAACTTTTCAATTGTGCATTTGTTAGGCGACGCGGCTCGCCGCTGCCATCGGAGGCAACCGCATCCAATTCATCAAACGGCGGCGCTATAAATAGGTCACTCTGATTAATAGGACGCTTTTTGCGACCGCTGACACTATTTGTCGCATTACTGGCCGTTACATTAAGCGTGCTAGTCGCCAGTGGCTGGGGCAGAACTGTAAAAGTCCACAAAACTTAATCAACACTTATTTCACCACATTTGCAGTGCTGGGCACTTACCAATGGGAAAACTCTTCCAGTGATATAGAAACTGTTCGGCCACGCACTTAATCTGCTGAACCAGCTGTTCCACCTCGGGCGGTGCGCCTACCAGATTGATGTTGAATTCGACGGGCTCCCGCTCCGGACCCGCCAGCGTCTGGGGGCGCAGCAACTGATGGTTGCCTGAAGCGCTGCCGCTTGCAACTGTCGGCTGCAATGACATGGTGCTTGTGTGTTCCCCCTTCCAGCAGCTGTTTACTCCATCATTGCGAACAGCCTGGTGCGATGTGTTTTTTTTTTTTTCAATATTAAAATCAAAATCTGCAAATATTTATGGAATCCGTTAATCCATGCGCCAAACACATATGCCAATTGAAATCGTTGAAATGCGCGCCTATATTAATATTAATGATCCAATTGAAAACACACAGACACGTCTGTTAGTGCATGTATGTGTGCGTGCGCGTGTAGATCGCTCACAAATGAATTTTAGAAGAAATTCCAGCAAGGCGACGAACACAATGTAAACAATTAGCTGAAGCGTGTGAGCACAGACAGTTTTTTGCGCAGGCGAATTAAGGAACTTAGTTAACACTTTAATCACCAACTAACATGACGAAGAGACACAGGTGAATGCGAACAGCCTTCCAAAACCCGACGACACTCAGCCCGCAAGTCACTTTAACTCAATTTCGCGCTTCGTTAACTCTGGCGAGACGGATTCGGACAGAGTTTGTCTGTCTGCTGGACTTTACAAAAATATACATACATATATCTGTATATATATATGTGCATATACATATGCCTGCCAATTGTGCGTTCCACGCCCAACACACAGACTAACCACCTCACCACCCCCACAGCACACAAACAACACTTGTGCTTCTTATTGCTTTTTATTACGGCACACGCACACAAGCCATTTCATATTGTCGTCGGGTTTGGGTTACAGTCGCCTTTTACCTTGTTTTATATATCAAGTTGCTATTAGCCTAGCATGTGCGTTTGTATGTAAGTAAACATATACTAAATCCAGAGCGAGAAATTGTACTACTACTACTATTCAGGTTACATTTATCGATGATTAATCGTTATCAACAGTTTTAGAGCCATTGACAAGCGGCGACAGATAAACCGAAATACACAAGAACTTCATGGTATTTGCACACTCTGCGAAACACGTTTCGTAACTAGCAGCAGCCATGGTTAGATTGTTTTGCACAACCTGGTACTATGATTGAAACTTACACTTGCTTTATTTCACAAAAAACATTTTCATTTTGCACTAACTTTACTACGCATTTTCTTAAAACCTTATTACCATTTCGAGAGGTATAAGCAAAACTATCGATAAGTGTTGCAGTGTGACTGAATCGAAGTTTTCGTAAAATACTGTTTTCTAGGTCTTAAGTACATAGATCCAGCTGACGAACAGATGTCTGTAGAGATAAAATTACAAATTGTTCAGCACTAATAAGTTGCGCGACGATTCCAAAATAGAACATAAGCATTCCTCATGTTGCCCAAACTAAAGAGAAAATGTATGGCAATAAACTGTAATGCCAGCGGCTTGCAGGATTTCACAAACCTATTTAAATTTCCAACGGATCCCAAAATGAACCAAAAGTGGAAAGAAAATCTAGGACTCACGAACGTCCGCTTCCTTTCGTCATGCCGATCATTAATATGCCGACGCCACTTCACACCAGATTGTCACGGCAAGAAAAAGTTACACCCCTGGGCAGTGCCAACACTCCATTTAGGTACCGGTGGGTACAGCAATCAGCTGAGAGCTGATGAGCCGAACTTACCTTCTCCGTTTTATAGGTAAAACTGAGGGTATACATCAACCCGTTAAGCCAAAAACAATTTGGAGGTGGCGGAAGTGTTGTGTTAGAAACTGTAAGGTGAGGCAACCAGAAACATTACACACATTTCCAACGAAACTGGAGCTACGAGCCAAATGGTTGCAAATATGCGGATTACAAGATGTGCGGAAACACTACGACATATGCCGGAGGCACTTTCGACCAAGTTTTTTACTCAGACGCAAACTCGTCGTGAACGCATATCCTGAATTGCATTTGGGTCTAGAAGATTTCGATCCACTGAAGGCGCCACAAGACTCGGACAACATTGAATTTGAAGAGGATGATATTAATGGGAACATGGACAATGACGAAGACAAACCATTAATTAACACGAACAGCAACGAGACAGTTGAGGCAGAAGAGTACGAGGATGGTGCCGGAGAAGAACAGATCTGTGACACAAACTGCAACAAGTGTGCAACGCAGGAGAATCGGTGCCGCGAGATGCAGGAAGAAATTGATGCCATGCGCAAAAAGATAGCTCAACTGGAGGAAATGCTTCACGTAAATGCGAAAGATGACGAAGAGGAGTACATATGGCTGCTGCTCAAATAAATCTAAGCCCAAACACCTTTAATTAATACCATTTTATTTTTCTTACTGCATCTGTAGCTCAAGCTGCAGCAGACGCTGGTTAGTGGGACAATACGGCATAGTAGCGGACATGTTGGCAATGGCCTTGGCGCGTTCCCGCAGCTCATTTGGCCGCTGCTGCTGTATGGAGCTGTTTGATGTTGTTTTTGGCTTCAACTGGTTGTATTCTGTGAGAGTCAGGTCCATTGCGGCCACCATAACATCGGGTATTACCTTGATGACATCGCCACTCAATTGTCTCACGTTTGCCAGGCAGCTGGCCACGTCCTCCGTGTTGTTGGGTATGATGTTGGGTATGCGCTGAAGCTGCTGTAAAGCCGCCTTGGATTTGCCTTCGTGATAATTATCAAAGAACGTGAGCAAATCTCGTAACAATGTAAAGCTGACATAGATCTTAGGTTCTATATCCGAGGAGTGGGCAGTCATGCGTGCGCTAAAACGCGGTGCTTCCAGGCTAAGGCGCGCTCGCAATGTTCCCTCTACTGGAGGCTCTTGCACCACCTGGGCCAACAATATGGATATATACTTCAGTGCCAGATTTAGATTGCCAGCAATTTCATAGAGCCGCACAGCCATCTCAAAGTTTCCGCGCGCTACCAGCTCATCGGCGACTAGCCCAGCCATGATATGCGTGTCAAAGTCTGCGCAGCTGAACTGCCCAAAGAGGCCTCTGTGGAGGAAATGAATGAATGAACAGTTCTCTAACTATCCGAACTGACTAGCTAAATGTACATACCCCGATAGTTCGTCATCGTTGACACTTCCCTTCTGTCGGTGTCCAAATATCAAATCAAATATGCTGGTGTCCAGCACGCCGCTGTCTACGACCAAGCTACAAACGCACGTTAGAAACATGTTCCGTCCCTTGGGATCATGCAGGTTACGCAGTGTGTAATAGTAGTGCAGTGCCTCGGCAGTGTCCATCGCCTCAAAGCGATGCACATAGAGACGAATGAGGCGCGCTAGATTGAGACGACGGAGCGGCGTTGGATCCGATATGTCAATTGTGAGCAGCGGTTGCGACACGCTTCGCACGCCGCCCAGCATGCTCAGCTCATGTAGACCTATAGCCATGTGGACTGCGTGCACCCGATTGGCATCCGAGCGAGCCAGGAACTCAATGGCTGCCTCGAACTGACCGGTGAGTGCTAGCGCTTGGAAGTAAAGATGCGGTTGCTGACTAGCATTAAAATACTTCTCGCCATAGGTGTCTATGATCAAGCTCTGCAGTTGGCCATAGCCAGCTGAGTCCCCGGGATGCAGCATGGCCAATCTGATCCAGATAAAGTCGTCGATTGTTTTGGCCACTTCCCCGTGCACCTCGTTAGCGTCGCAGCCAAGCAGGACGCAGTAAACAGCCTTCTTATAGGCATCAGTTGAATTGCGTATTTTGTTCGCATACTGTAGTTTCAGCTGGCTTTCTATCTTGGAGTTGACCATGCCTCCATTTCGATCTGCAATAAGCTGAGCGAATTCCTCATAGCTTGAGCCAGCTTCACGTAGGAACTCCACAGCGGTTTCAACAGCTCCGCATCGTAGACTGTAATAGATAAGCGGCCAAAGCGGCTTGCCGCCAGCTGTGTCTACCAGACCAATGGCTTGTTGTCCGCTAAAGCAGCGACTCACGTAGGCGCGCACTAATTGATAGCTGTCGGCATCGCTGGCCACGGTCACCAGTGAATTTATGTAGAACCTGTAGCGTTTCTCCAGATACAATTTGGCATTCAATACGAATTCTGGCCGCTGCTGACGGCTCTTGATGGGATCTCCCTGATGGACTTCGCTCACTTGAGTCACACAGGCAAGCAGTGTCCACATGTCCGTGAGGCGAGCATCTCCAAAAGTGCTGGTCAACTGTGCGTATTTCTGTACTAGATTTGGACGTGAACCACCCTTGAGCATGAGGGCATTGTACTGGCACAGCTCCTGGGCGTATAGTAGGCCCATCTTATCAAGGCAGGAGAGCGGATGGCATTCTGGAGCCAATATTGTCTGGTCGGGCAGCCGTTGCAAATCGATGAAATTCTGCGATGGTCCAATCAAAGCGTCCAGCAAGCGTGTTTTTTCCTCGTTCCAGCTGCTGATCAAATTAGCCCATTTTTGCTTACTAACCGAGTCACTGATCTGTGTATCATATGGTAATAAACCTGAATGTAAACCTCTATTTTGCCAAATGGATTACATACATTTTTATTGGTATCCTCTATGACAGACAATATGGCATTTTCACGTTCATTTTTGAGAAACGTGCACACATCTGTGTCCGCGCCAGCCACATCCAGGGGCTCGAAAGTTTTACCCGCGCTGAGCGTCTCCAGCTTCTGGTTCAGCTTTGGCAGATCGATGCCCTTGGATCCAAGCAATATTTGCCTATGAATAAGAGCATAGTTTACATTCACATTCACGTGCGTGTTCGTGCAGCATGAAGTTAACACTTACGCTTGTATTTCCTTGGTGCCGGTCTGGGTGACGCGTCTGTGTAGCTCCTCGGTGGCTTGTAGCACCTGTTGGAGTGTACGCTCCACGCCAGGTAGCTCGCATTCATCCTTTTCTTTTGTAAGGTTCTGTGCACGTTGGAGTAGAGTATTTAGATCCATTTTATAAATCTCTCAGCGGCAAATAAAAAACGCGGACTAACATAAACAATGGCCAGTGCTGTGAAACCGATTGTAAAATATTTTCACAATACACAGCACTGAATTTGTTGGCGCGTTATTTAAAATATGAATACAACTTGAAAAAAACTACTAAAATAATTATTTGCCATAGCCTTCAATATAGTTCCAGAGAAAGTTCAGTAATATTCCTTATACTATTATTATCAGCTGCTACGATAGAATGATTTTCCATGCAATCCATTTCAAATGCATCGTCAACAAGTGGTTTATCTGTTGTCTTTTCCAAGCTTGGTTAATTACTAACAATAATGACAAGTACGCAATCTATTAGTCTTCTTATTAAATATTACCGCCTTTTTGTGAAATCTACAAAAAGGCTGCAGTCACTAATTCCTTTTTTCCAATTTAGATGCGTAGTTTTTTCCTTTAGATTCATCAGAAGATTATAAATCTCTTACTCAGCTTGAGTTAAAAGTAGAAAAACGTCTGGTCCTGCATTTGCTCTAATTGGTCAAAACTCTCTTTAAATTGTTTGACAACAAGTAAACAGGAAACTCAACAAATGCCAGTTATTAAAAAAAAACACATTGATTTATTACTAGTAAAAATTATATTTAAATTGAAACTAAGAATAATATAAGTCGCATATTTTATTTTGCATATGAACTTTGTAACTGAATTGTTATTGTGAAAAAGTTTACTAACTTAAACCTGCTTTGTTGCTAAACAGTCACCACGAACGCTGCTAGGCAACATTAGGGATCCCTAAATATTTGATGATTAAAGTTTATGTTTTCTTTTTCTTTTCCTGTTATTACTTAAAACTATTAGTTTGTAAATTTTTCTCTTCTTGCGGACCAAGGTGCTTTTATAACAATAGATATTGAAACAATTTCGTATTGCCATTGTACGAGCCATAGCTTCAAAATGGTTAACGCTGGCTGCTGGCTGCCGGTTGCCAAGTACTTATGATAAAATACAGCTGCTCTTCTCGGGGGGATTACCATTCTCGTTTTCGATTAGCATAAGTAACTGATGAAATATATCACCGACAGACTGGAATATACGAAGTTCAATATGATTATCGAATTAATCTTATCACACGTGAACGGACTCACCTCATTTTGTTTGGCGGATGTTTCGAGAAATGCTGCCCGCCAGCATTCAGCCAGTTTCTTGCCCTCCTCCGTGGAAACCGTGCGTTCCTGATGCAAATCCGTCTTGTTTCCTACTAAGACTACAGGTACACTAAAAACGTATATAATATTGCAGATATTTTAAAATCTAGTTGAAATTTTATGCGCTTTTCAATTTTCTTACTATTTCTTGCCCATCACATCTAACAGTTTTTCGTATATAATTTTAATGACTTCAAAGGATTTTTGACTGGTTATGGAATAGACCAAAACGTATCCATGAAAGTCCATGCTATATTGCACCGGAAATATGCTATATTCATCCTGTCCCGCCGTATCGACCAGCTTAACGCCATAATCCTGCGAGTTGACGCGTGTAACCTTGGTGAATGCTGTAATTTAAGGAAAGTCAACCCGTACACACATTAATCGTTTATCAAACTGCGTTCTTTGTGGTGCACGCAGTAGGCACATGCACATGAACGTAGAATGCCATCAGCATCCTGCACAAGTGGAGCTTTCTATGACTAATCCCAATTGATATGTGAACGCTGGTTACGTTCACAAAAAACATCTGCTATATGACTTACTATTTTCGATTGTTGGATCGTAAGAGTCCACAAATTGGCCTTCAACAAACTGTATACTGAGCGAAGATTTGCCTGTAAATGCAGGTGAAACGCAATTATTATATTTACACATATACATACATACATGTACGTAGGTATTTTAAATTGTTTGCAATGTTGTTGTGTCTGTTGTCAAAATACAACGCAATTAAACTACAAGCAACAACGCACACGCACCCACAAGCCATACAACAACAACAATAACAACAATAACAACAACAACAGCAGCAGCGCAGTGCGATTAGTCAGACTGGTGCTGGTACTGGAGCTGGAATGGATGGAGTCCAATAGACTTACCGACTGAGCGGTAGCCCATCATGGCTATATTGCGTTCCTTTGGTGGCATTATGTAGCCCAATTAATTATTTCAACTTTGTAAAATTGTTTTTGCCCTTTATAGGGTGTATATTTGTGTGTCCGTGCGTCTGTGTGCGCCTTTTATTCGATTTATTCAGGCTATTTGCTTGCTCCAGATACTTGTTGCTATCACAGTTGTAAGCTTGCTGCAGCGTAGTTTCAATTTTTTATTGTTTAATTCAATTATGTATTATTTCACAGAAAACATTCTGACTTCACACTAACTACGCTTTTTTCTTAAATGTGGGCACCCTAAAACTGTGACATTTGCTGCACTGTTGTTAACAGCGCGTACAATTTGTTCCTAAAAAAAACTGTAATTTTCAATTTTCCGTTTTGCAAGTTAGCTAAGCCCGTTGGGTGAGATGTGCTCAAAGTAATGGGTAAAATATTATGACTTTGTAACGGAAGTGTTTGACTAAGAAAAGAACCAATCTTTTTATAAGAGCCTCGAAACATGGTTAGTGGTACTTTTGAAAAAGTACTAAAAATTCCTGTTCATGTTTGTAATCGAAATCGGCCGAACTCACATCTCTAATGGTCACTAAAAACATCTGTTTTCTGAAGCATTACTGATTGAAAATTTATATCTAGTTTTGAATTTTTATTGTTGACCTCTCAACAATAGCGTACGCCTTTGAAATGGGCACAAAACGTCGCAATATCGAAGATGAGCTCTCGCGCTTCGAAGCGGAGATCTCTAAGCCGCCAGCGCGAAACCTTTTTGTACCAAATCAAGTACGCCCGATCATCGCGGCGAATACGTATAACAACGTGCAGCAGAAATTGCAGCAGCATCAGCCTCGGATGGCGGTGCCACCGCCTCCAATACCACCACCGCCAACATTTATGTCGACATTCGTACCGACAGGCAGCGGCTCATCTACTTCGCCATCCAAACCCATGTCCGCCACCCCGGTCGTGCTAAGCAGTGCGCCGAAGCTCTATCAGTGTCGTCAGTCGGTGCATGTGCCGACGGTGGCCACGGCTCCGGCAATTGACATCAACATCAATTCCATACAGTTTGATGTTACGCAGAAACTCAAAAAGCTTAAGGCTGAAAAATCGGGACCAAATCCGATTGCAGAAGAAGCTATCAAAGCAGCGCGCGCTTCATCGGCGCTGCAATCATTTCAGACCACAGAGCGCAAGAAGAAGGATCGGAAGACTGTGCGTATTGCCGGTGGCACTGTGTGGGAAGATGCCTCATTGGCGGATTGGCCGGATGATGATTTTCGTATCTTTTGTGGCGACCTCGGAAATGATGTCAACGACGAGGTGCTGACGCGCACCTTCAACAAGTTCCCATCCTTCCAGAGGGCACGCGTTATTCGCGACAAACGAACCGGCAAAAGCAAAGGATTCGGCTTTGTCAGCTTCCGCGAACCGGCTGACTTCATACGTGCCATGAAGGAGATGGACGGTCGCTATGTGGGCAGTCGGCCCATTAAGCTGCGCAAGAGTACATGGCGACAGCGCAGTCTGGACGTGGTCAAGAAAAAGGAACGCGAGAAGCAAGTGCTCCTTCAGGCTTTTAACTCCATGAGTTGAAAACACGGCCCGCACTTATTCGACACAACAAACAATTTTAGGCTAGTTTTGGTCGCATTTTGATGTAGCAAATTTGTATTTCGAATGTCTGGATGTGGCTGCTGCAGAATAAGCGTAAATTAAAACAAATGTTAAAATACATTTTTTAGCAAAAGCAAAAACTAATGTAATTATTTATCGGGGACTTATAACAATATTGAACTAGACGTGCGCGATTAACTGTAAGCAATGTACATAACTTAAATTATTGGACATAATTGTTTGAAATCTATTAATGATTAATATTTTATACTTATAGATACACATATTCAAGCTTCTTCATACTTAGCTTCATTGTTTGCTCCCACAAAATTTAACATTTAATTATTGATTTCTCCACTCCTGATACTAAGTCTAGCAATTGAACTAGAATAACAACTTCTTTCATTAGTGTAACCGACTATACTATGTTACGAGTACTACGTACTACATCTGACCTGAACAAAAATACGGCACAGCTGTGCATTAAAGCCCACATTAATTGGCATGGTTTACCTTAAGGAATACAGCTTCGACTTCGCAAGTCATTAAGTCACTAATTGGAAACCGCATGCACTTTTGTTGACCTTAGCAATACTTGTTTGATGTTGGTTCCTTGGGATGTTCTTCAGCGCCATTTGCTTGTCTGCTTACCAAGCAATGGCCTACACATTTCATCACCAGCATTTTCCACTGAACCTGCCTCCAAGCGCGTGTGTCTTGGCCAGCGAACAAAGGGTCTGCCCGCGTCGGTCGAGAATATTGAGGGATAATATTGCCGGTAGCTAATGTATCCGGTGGCCAGGCCGATTAGTGCGCCCACTACCACATCTTGCCAATGATGATGATAGTCACAGGTGCGACTGACGGCTACCAAGGCGGCCACAATAAGAGGCATAATGGCAATGAATAGACGCCAAGTGTGGCCCCGTCCGCGTGCATCGAAAGCCTGCAACTTGGAACCAACATAGTAGGTAACAAATCCAAAGCTGGCAAAGGCAACTGAAAAATATGCAGCGGAAGAGCCTGTTAGAGATCTGTAAGCTTCCGGATTGAATTCATGTGGGTCTACTTACAGGACGAATGGCCACTAGGGAAGCTTTTGCGGCCCTCGTTTATCACACTAGGGATGCCCGTGCAATTAAAATCGAGCAATGAGCTGCCAATCGCGTCGGTGGTCTCGTTTAGCACCATGACACCATCAGGAAAGCAACGATAAAAGAAGTCAGGACGTGGTCGTCCCACGCTAATCTTCAACAGACTCGTGGGTACGGCATTCGAGCACACCGCCAATGTCCATGCCCAGCTGGCTGCCCGAAAATCCCTGCGATCCTTGGTAAATATGTAGAATATTATTGTAAGTAACAACGGCACGGCTATAACAAAAAATAACAGATCGCCGCCCCTAACGATATCCGGTCGGGGTGGATTTTTGTACAGCCACAGCTCCTCGGAGTGGATTTGTCGCCGAAATGCGGACATTGTTTCCAGTTTACTAAATGGTTAGATTTATTAATATTTAATCATGATTCATTCTGCATGGCAATGAGATAAGCAGCATTACTCACAAAAAAATCAGCGTAATCACAATGCGTATGACAATGTCCACCACATCGCTATACTTCTTTCTACGGGCGGGCACTGGCGGATCTTGATCCGGTTCCGCTTCTGGCAGCAGCTCGTCGTTTTGTTTCAGCTCATTGCGCCACATATCGTTCCCGTCAACGACGTCCAAATCTTCAATGGAACTTTTGCCAAGACTACTGCGATGCGGCGTTGATTTGCTAGTCGTTGACATTTCGGCCACTTGGGTATTGTCCATTGACTGAGTGTGTTCTGTGCTGGGTCTCCTTGTTGTCTGAATAATTGATAAGGCAAAGTCATTAGGCTATTAGACGGAGTATATTAGGCAAATACATATATAACTATTGCTGCGATAAGATAAATAGGCACATGTACGATGCCGATGTAGAGAAGTACATGCAAACAAATATGTATGTATGTTCATGTACGGGTACATCAGAATTCGTTACATGATTCTGATGATTTGCGGAATGTGTACGTTATATAAATACAAGGTCAGGCATATTTGCAATATTTGTTCATAGTGTCATTTGTATTTATAGGTAAACACAGGCAAACCGAGACCAAATATCAATAAATTGGTGAGACCTGCGCTTCATCCGACCAAGACGAAGTGTCGTCAACGTCGTCTGGTTTGTTGTTGCTTGGCTGCTTTCCGCATTTTCGACTACGTAATTCCAAGTCTGCACTATGGCTTTGAAGCATTATCAGGCGCTCCTCAAATATAACTTCAACTTTGGAACTGTTTACAACGTTAACAGTTTAGTAATTATTGCGAATGTGTTGATTTTCGGGGAAGTCAACTGGTACAAGAAGTATTATTATTTAAACTAACTGCTAGTCGCTAATTGCACCGGGCTTTTATAAACTTTCTCTAATCCGCATTTGTGACAGATATATACCAAAAATTCCAACATCGCGCACCGACATTTCTATACTCTCTCAACACAATAAAAGAATTTTTATATGTTTTTGTTTTTTAATATCGAAATTTAATAATTAATTAAAATAAATCACATGTTAATTTTTAATTAAATTTTCTTGGTGAAATTGACGATAGTTATAGAAAATGCAAACAGCCTTTCTATAGAGTAAATTAGCATCTGTAGATATAAAGATGGGCTAACAGTAGTGTTGAGCATTACAGTTCAGCTTCAAGTTCCTTTAGTTCCATCTGTTGCACCAGCTAGTGGTTCAGTTTCTATGGTGTTATCAAAGCTTAATTTTATTATGTATAATAACAGTGTCGCAATTTACAACTATACAACTTACGTACTCAAACGGAAAAAATAATCTTTTAAAATTGTTCACTATTGAACTGCACATCCCTAATATAAAAAGGTTGGACCTCTACTTAACATATCACTGTAAGTAACATAAATAAAACACCGCATTGCCAACAATGTGAAATGTGAACAAGAACAGACCTGTTTCCGATCATATGATTGGAACTGATACGGTTTTTATTTTTCATAACAAAATTATTAAAACTTGTTCAATTATAGAAACTTTAACTTGAAAATGTCTACCGACAAGTGTGAAAATGATAGGATTGCTGCTGGACAATTGCTTGACACCCTCTATCTGGATATGTTTCATCTAATCGAAGCCCACACCCAATGCCGCACAGACATCGAACGCACGTACTCCAGTGGCGCCATTCTCCTAGCACGAACGAAATTCCAACAGGGAGGCCAATCAATATCCACCGCCCAGATACCAACAGAAAATAGTGCAGAGTTTAAAGCCCTATGCAGAGTGATAAATGCGCCAGACGAAGACAGAGCTGCCGGCATTACTATTGAGCGCTATGCCGTGGACAAGGAAAACGGCTATGTGGAGCCCTTGCATTGGTTTAGCGTATTGCCCCCAATAAATTTGCGAAATGCGGTGGAAAGGTTCAAGAAAGCTATTGAACTGGTAGCGGAGAGTACAAATCTGCAACGGGAGCTTAGCACTGTATTAAGTGGCATTAACAGATTGCGGCAAATTGTTGCGCTACGTTAGAAGTGAATGTATCGTGTAAATTACAAATGTATAATTAAGAATAAAGTTGAAAATTATTAGGACAACAAAAATTATTATTTTTTTAGTGTGACTGTTGTTTTTTTTTAAATCGATTTCAGTATTTAAAAATCGATAACATAATTAATTTAGAACGATTACAATAATGCGCAAGTGGATAGTCTCGTCAGCTGTTTGCAACATTATTTTACACTTTGTATTCTTAGTAAGTGGACAGTCTCGTTGCTCATCATTTTCGTATCTTGTTAATGAATCGATATATATATATATATATATATATACATATATATAGATATAAAGTTTACAGAAAGCAATCAATAATTGCTAAAAAGCAAATGTGCAACAAAAAATAAATTAAACCAATTACAGATTAAATTATAGAACATGCAAAATATGCATAAAAGAGGCGTACCGCCCAGCAGATAACAGTGTTCACGTTCGCCCGAAAAGCCACAGACGCGCGCCTTTGTTGCTCTGTCCGCGATTGCTAGCTTCGGGCGACATTCCCGTTTTGAGATTTGTCGCGCGTAGCTACCCCACCCAAAGCTACACACACGGGCACGCACACACGTCCTACTGCCGCCTAAGTGCAGCCATGAACAACGCTCAGCCGAAAGGGGCAACGCAAGCTGCAGAAGCGCCCTTGCTACAGTTAGAGGATGAGATGGATTTGATTGGTGACTTTGTCAAGCAGCAGGCAACAACAACAGCGAGCATTAATCAACTGGCACCTCTCCTAAACGGCTGCGATACAGGTGGGATCAATAAGTTGACTACCCAAGTCGAGGTGAGTTCGCCCGAAGCAATCCAAATCGTGGGAAAAGCAACGAATTAAAGTTTTTTCTCTGTGCACAGATAAATACAATTGGCGTGCATAGCAAGGCTACGAGCGGCAAGCGAAGGCAAAAACGAAAGCCAAAGAGAGATCGCGATCAAGTTCTATTATCAGTAGACGATGCTGATGCTGATAGTGATGATTCTGTCGCTTATGGTACTGATGATGTGGCGCCCATTGATGGTGCTGGCGGCGACGATGGTGAAAACGTTGATGTCTTTGCTGTTGGCAAGAAGCAACCGCAAAATAACCAACTGTTAATGCTGCACGACATCGGCGACGATGCCGATGCCGATGGCGACGACGAAGAAGAAGTTTTGCTGCACAATAATCTACCCGCCCTCCGCAATGGCAATGGCAATGGCAAATGCAAACACTCCGAGGAGAGCAGCGAGAGCGTTAGCGGCAGATCAAGCGCAACGACACCGCAGCTAGCCCCGCAGCTTGTGATTAGTCACACTGCAACACCAGCGCGACGCGCACCAAATACAACGTCATCGTCAGCAACATCCCCGCTGAAAGCAACGACACGCCTGCCCCACGAGGAGGCCGACGATATTTGCCTGGTGCCAGAAATCGACTTCGAGGGCATGTCCACGGACGCAGGCAGCGATAATCGCGAGTCACAGCCGCTGCTTGGCGGCGGAGGCGTCAGCCATGCCAGTCGCATTAGCGATCTACTCGGCGCTCTGGGACGCGGACATGATCACGTTGACCTCGTGTCAAACACATTTGGCGGTGAGTACTCAGTGCTGTGCAAACTGCAAACTGCAAACGAAGTCTTACAAACTTTTGTGGGGCTTCCTACCTAGTCTGTGTGTATCTCTTGCTCTCGTTCTTTCTGCCTGTGTGTGTGTGTAGATTACAATGCATGGCTGTCGTCGGGTACTTTAATTCTGTTATTCTACTTTCAAAGACATTCTATTGTGCGGCTTATCACACATTCACAAAGCCAACTAGGCTGCAAACCTTATCATAATCCAAACATGCAGGCGTGCAAATGCAAATGCCGTACAGCAATTTTTATAATATAACAATAGGTTCAGTCAAAGCTGTATTCAGAGATAAAACATTCAAGACATTTAATGTTGACTCGACATTGAATTGCAAAGCTAAACACAAATACCTACACTATGATTAACTGGGAGATACCCTGTTCAGTGTCCAAAAGTACAGAACCTTGTCAGGCATTTCAATGCAGTATAAATAGAACACTTGAATTCCATTTAGTTTAAAAATACCTATTAATTTGTTTGTTTACAAATTTGTACTCGCCTAAACACTCAAAAGACACGTGTTGCTTCCCAACCCTCAACGCTTCTCCCTTAGTATCCAATCGGTACAAAATATGGCATGCAGGTTTAATACCAAATTTGTGTCTCATTAGTTGATGTGAGTCATAAATTTGTTTATAATTACACAACTTTGTAACAGCCCTTCTATAGGCGCAGGGTATGTTATATTTTATTAATACGAACACTTGAGTAACTTCTCGATAGTAAAAAATATTATTTAATAAAAAAAAAAATTAAAGCAAGGAATTTAAATAATAGGGTACACATCAGTATTGCGCATATTATGAGCGAGTATTGCATCAGCTGTGTAAGAAAATTTCATTGACTATATAACTATAAATTGTTATATTATATATGAATGTATATATATATAAAGGCCTAAACAGCTGTGGTCTTTATGCCAGCTAGGAGATTCAGTAAACGGATCGTAACCAAGACGTTGTCAACAAGAGAGCGAGGTAATTTAAGAATCGTTGCAGCTATTTGCAGCTATAGATTGTTGTTATGCCAGCTATATTATATAGGCGACCGATTTGTAAACATTTCATTAGCACCCTTGACGCCGTAGTTCGTCGAACTGATCAAGAGAATATGCAAGTACAGATCCACTTAGTTGGGTTGCGAAATGTCTTTATCCATGCGTGACACTCAACTCTCTTGAGTACGACAAGGAAAACAACTGTTTTTGAAAGCCATTGGTTTTCCTTTCATAATTTAAAATAAATTCCTTTCGCTTACGAAGTAAATTGTTTGTTGGTGTTTCGTGTATAACATAACGTTATTTCTTTGTTACCATACGCGATCCGTGCCAAATTCAAAGTATTGCAAATTTAGTGCATGTAAAAATGGACGTTGTGATAAAAACGCTTGTCGACCAATGGACATAGTCAATATCAAAAGCGTACCACGAAAAATGATCAGCAATGGCGACAAACGAAATTGTGGCAGCTCATTCAGAGGCAGTTCATGCGGAGGCCGCCGACGATCGGTCTGCACATGTCGGTCCAGCGCCGGCCAAAGGGAACGATTCAGTTAGCAGGCAAGAGTCTGAGGAATCGTTATATGAGCAATACGTGTGTCATTGTTGTAAGCAAAAATGTAACGCTGAGGAAAAGGACTATCTGTCGGACGGCGAGGAGGAGCCGCCAATTCTGTACAGTGCGCCCTCCGGCATGCGGGACTCCGAAGACTCGGACACCTTTAAAATAGCACAGCCAAAATGTCAATGTGCCAATTGCCCGCTGAAGAACATGTGTAAGTGCCGGCAACACCGATGTGTGGGGCAGACCCTATCGAAATGCTTTCGATATGCAAATTTCTAGATATACTTTTTATGCTCCCATTATTTAATTCGACGGCAACCTGAAGCGAGTGTGCCTGGCCAGCCCGACACATATTCAATGATAATGTCGCGTTCGTTCAGCTATAGTCGCGAGCATTTTATACAGCAGGTGTTCACCATTTTCCAGGACCACTGCGACTTCAACGACAATTTCGACTTCATAGGTAGTGAGAGCTGAACAAAGGGAAAATATAGCTACTACTCGTATTCCTAAGGCTTCCCAAGCGGACGGACATTTATTTTCCTTTGCCATGCCGGCCTCGTGTCCCTTCTCTTGGCAAGTAATAAATAGTTTACAATATGCTCAAGTTGCGGTGACCTTGTGCTAATCAATATGCTGTCCACCCTCCCCACGCTTCTTATTCAGACTTCTACATACACGGCTGTCACGACAAGCCGGAGCCTCATTTAAGAAGCCAACTGGACAGCAGTTTATTATTTATTTAG